GACCAAAATGAAAATAGAGTAAAGGAAAAGAAAAGAAACATATTCTAGAACAATGGTGAGCTCAAAGCAGCTGAAAACAAACTAAGGAGGTTTAGCATGAGCTGCACCTAGTCATGTGCAGTACATATGGAGGGCTGGATTTCTGACAAAAACATGGAAAGCTTTTGAAGGCTCCAAATGGGCTTTGTGCAGGTGCATAGCCCATGTGTTTCAAGTCAACTTTCACAAGACGAACCTCAGCTAATGGGTTCCTCTTATCTAGTGAGAAGAAAGCAGTATTCTTATGTAAAATGTTGCCTAGATTTCTCTATATGTGGCTTCTTTGCCATGGCATTTTATAAGCCCACTACTTGAAAGCCATGGCAATCAGCTATGAAGGGTGCCCTCATTTAACATGGTGCCTACTCTGTACTAACTCATTGTATATCTACTTGTTCATATCTTGTTTTGTATAAATTATATGTAGCAGTGGGTACCCACGGAATAAACCTAAACTTAAAAAATTGTGACTTAAACAAAGCAGGAATTGGGTGCTTTTTGTTTAAGCCCTGAGAAAAAGGGTTAATTTTTATGATGCCAATTCCACTGTTTTGCACTGAAATAATCCTTTGTTAATCCTTTTGCTAAAGGACTGTGATCAGCAGCAGAGGCCCCAAAGAAGTTAATGTTCTCCCATTGTTTCATGAAGTTGATTGTGATCCAAAGAAACATATGTGATAATAAGCCTGTAAGTTGGAAATGCTATAAGACTTTATTTTTGCTATAAAATCTAAAATGGCTATCCCTCTGAAACTAGTATTTCACTCATATTTTCTCAGTCACCTCTTACTATTACTGAACAAGCAGTTAAAATTTGATAATAGTGCTTTGAAGATTGATTAATTTAGGAGAAATTTCAAAATAAAAAATAAATATCTGACAGTGGAGAATCCTTTGGCAGAGGTATTTAAGTGGAAACTAGATGACCATCTGTCAGATGTTGTATTGTGATGAACCTGCACTGGATGTTGACTTGTCTCCAAGGCACCTTTCCAAAGCTGTTTATCTATTATTTAAAGAGAACCATGATTCTGAGATCAGAATACATTTACAGTTTAGCCTCATGTGCTGTACAGTGTTGCATTTTGTATTTATTTGCAAGTCAGGTGATAGATAGATAGATAGATAGATAGATAGATAGATAGATAGATAGAGCACAGTGCTAAATATACTAACTGAGCAGAAAGTCCCACTGAATTTAATGGAGAACATTCCAAAGTCTTAAAGATTAGAGACTAACACTGTATAATTCTAAGTCCTGGAGTTCTTTAATGCTGAAAAACAGATTAAGATTTTATTAAATAAATAAATGCACTAAGGAAACCCACTAAATTTGTGGACTTATAAAAAAAAAAAAAGTAGGTTTAAGATCAGGTTACAAGACAGACCCAGTAAATTGAATTGCTACCATCAGTGTTATTTTTTTTAAAAAAGACAAAAATTACAGAAACTTAAAGAAGTCAAATGTTTTATCAAAGTAGATAAACATTTACAACCGACATGAATGGAAGAAAAGGGTAAAAGAGAGAGAGAGAGAGAGAAATAAGGATTCTTCCAGATAAAAACTGCTATGATTAGCACAGTAGCAATCTTTGGAGGTATATCAAAGAAGACATAATTCCCAGCACAGTAGTTTAGTGGAATGCTGCTGCTGTAACTGCTGTGCTACCCAGTTAGATGCTGTAAGTCCCTGGAAAACCACCATGATTCAAAATATAAGTATTAAACACGCTAGTTCAGCCTACTTGATACCCATAAACATCTCCATCTGGAAGCACCTTTAATGGGAAAAGAAGCAACGAATGAAGTAATGCTGAAGGCAAACAAAACAGTAAACAACAATCAAACAATAAAGTGATTGGTTGTGACTAAGCAGTTAATTCTTTTTTTATTATCTGACTGAAGAAGTTGAGTATTACAGGTTGAAGAACATAAGAGAAACAATACAGCAGATCAAAAAATAACAGGCAAGCTGACATATGCTAGAGATGAGAAAATGGAAAGCAAATGACTGCAAGCAAATGTTTATATAAACTTTTTAAAGCTAATTCCAGAAATCCATGCATGTAATAAGAGTTTAGCAAAAAGTAAGTTCTGGTCCACTCCCAGACCAATGTTAAATATTAGATAAAAAACTATAGCACAGGGATTCTTAGAAAGAATACTGCCTTAGGTAGATTACAGGCTGACCACCAAAGTGCTTCACATCTTCTTAAGCAAGATTGCATGCTCTGGATTACTTATACCATCATTGTGAAAAATCCTAAATATGCCATCTTAGTTTGAGTTAAAAAACCTATTTGAAATTCACTGGGTTAATACACTTGCTGCTCAGTTGAATTAGGTATACAACATTTTGTCTTCATCTCACAATACGTTTTAAACTATAAATTAAATGGACTTTAGGATGTATTGCCTCACTGTAATTCCAGAGTTGCCATTATTGTCTTATGTAGATACTGTAACTAAAAGCCAAATAATTCTGTTCATCCAGAAAGAGGAAAATAGAGGTAGTCCTCGGGTTAAGAATGCTCAGTTTAAGGATGGCCCACAATTAAGAACAGAGTCTGCTGTAGCAAAATTTGCATTAAATACATGATGGTTTGAGTTAATTACACAATACTACTTATAGGTATTATACAATAATACTGTTCTGGCTTACATACAGATTCGACTTAAGGACAGACCTTGGGAATGGAACTTGTTCTTAAACTGAGGACTACCTGTACTGCCTTCTACAACTGCATCATACTTTCTGAGTCATAGAATCACAGAATTGAAAGGGGCCTTTAAGCAATTGGTTCCAACCACCCTGCTGTGTGCAACAATCAGGTTAAAACATCCCTGAGAGCTGACTCTGCAGATTGGTTGATTCAAATACATCTAGTGCTATGTCAAGAATAAGTAACACTCACAAACTGAGCATCCTTTTGGGAGATAAGGTAGTATGAGAATTGATACAGGCATAGCAACACCAAGGATGTACTGTTGATGAGTGCTAATGTTAAATAAACTTATCTCAACCAAGGTTTAAAAAGGTCAGCAAACTGCATAAAATAAGAAGACCAAGGTTCTGTTTTGTATTGGCTTACAGTTAGCCACTAATTACCAATTTGCCTCTTTGAAGGTGTTGTGGATAAGACCCTAAAATGCTCAAACCAGTTTTTTTCAAGGAACTACTTCTTTCCATACAGGTCTAACCAGTCCTTGTACTCAAAATATATTGCAAACTGTATCACAGTGTTCCCATATTAATTTAAGCGATGCAGACATAGGGTTTGCCTATAGTGCCATCTAACATACTCAGTAAATCTTTCACATAGATTAGATGCCCTTCCCACCACTGTTTTTTACAGCGTACAGTAAATGCTACATGATAAAAATGCTACATGATAGCGTAGGCATTATTTTGATGTCCTACTTATCTATTTGCTAGATGTCCTATAATTATTGGTGTTTTCTTTCTGTAATTTTATATCTTTTTGTATTCATTATGTAGCTTTTAAAATGTGAATTGCTTTGATTTTTATTTTAAAAAATGAAAAATAGTTTATAAATTGCATAATTAATTAATCCTATAATTTACACATTTTATGCAAATTACTTGTATGCAAAGTACTGATTTTGAATAACTAGACACTTTTTAAAAATGTAGATCACTAGGTTTGTTTATTTTTTTCCCTATGAATTTTGCTAAGGTTAAAAAAGGTACCAATTGCTGCTTTAATGAATAGAGAGATGCCATAAACTAGGGAACGATTGCCCAACCTATTTATTGTTAATTAAACCAGGGAGCACAACAATGTATTAAAGTGAGTCAATTAATTAAGCACAGTCTCTTCAATCACAGAGGATACAGTTAAACTTCCAATTAAAAAAAAATAAGAAGTGCCAGTCCACCGATAATTGAGCAGAATGAACCAGAATATCCATTGTGGAGGAAGGAAAAAAGGGAAGGGAAAGAGAAAATGGGGGTGGCACTGAGCACCTGCCCACTAGCAAATGAGTCACACCTGCTCCAATGACTTCTTCAATCTTCACGAAAGACACATCAATTTCCTTGGCAAATTCACGGACAGCTTCATTGGGGTCCTCATATGTAAAAGGATCAATGTAGATCTTCATTCCAGGGGAGCCTTCTCATTTTAGTGGGACAAAAGGAGAGAAAAAAGAATCATATTCACCTCTGGGAGAAGGATAGAATAACCCTGAAGCTAAACCCTTCTTCCTTCCCTGAATTTTTTTTTTAACCAGGATCTCTAACTGAGCTCCCCAGTTCAATGTCCCTTCTGTTCCAATCCTTTCTTATATCATTCTATACTTCCCCTACAATATCTTTTCTCTTGCAATCTCCCTGGAAATTCAGGATATATTAGTTATAATGGACAGATTAGGAGCAAGACATGGATCACAGCCCAAAAATGGGTGCGCATTGTTACTTATCGAAGCAATACCAAATCCATTAGCAAGAAAGTCAAGGAAAGAGGTGTAGGTAGAGAACAGTATTTATTAGCCCAATGCCTTTTCTGCTTCCCTGTGATTGTAAAGGTTAGACCAGGTGGCTGTGGTATAGCAGTGGATGCAGGAAAGAAATAGAAGCAAACTAAGAGGGAAAATGAGTGAAAAGGGGAGGGAGGACAAAAAGGGAGAGAAGAAAGAAATCACTTTGGAAAGGTAAGTTGCCTGAGAAATTGAAAACAAAACTAAAAAGGAAAGAAAAATACAAGAGAATACAGTCAATACTTAAGAACACTGTTAGTGCACTCTTCTAAAAGTGGAGTTACAGAAAGACAAAACGAAGACTGAAAAAAGAGGATAAAATCATTTTTCAACTGTTTAATGACCTAGAAAGCTTTCCAGTTGATTCAGATTGACTAGCTTGCTGCTTGGAGTTAAAGGTCTTCTGACAAGTCTTTCTTGTTCAACTCACAAGAGCAAAGTTATGCAGCAAAACTACTTTGCTAGTTCTGTAGCAAAGATGGCAGCAGATTTATGGTGCTTCTCTTCATGCATAATTTAAGCCATTTTTATTTACTCAGTGCACTTTTGATAGTTTTGTGGCTGCTACTAAAATGACAGAATGCAGCAATTACAAACAAGTGAGCATCTTAACAATAAAATACAATCTCCATAATAAATATTCTGCAGGTTTCTTTTACCCTTCTTTACAAGATCCCTTGTAGCTGACTGATAAAGCTCTACCAGACATGGCTGGAAGAATTTGAAGCAAGCTAAAAGGACTTTGAGACAGGGGGTGGAAACCTTGTTATTTCACTCATTAAATTTTAAGAGAGATCTTACATTCAAGAATACAAATCATATTGGTAGAAGCACTTTCTGCTATCTGGAATACATTGTATAGTGGAATATATCAATCTAACAACATACAAGTGTGAGTACAACTTGCTGTGAAAGTGAAATGTGTCTTTTCTGTTAATGGCTAGGTGCTGGTGAAAAAAATAAGATTCTCATCCCTTTATAAACTATTCTCTAGACCACAAGAGCCTTTAATTTCCTCTTCAAAATGTTTAATCTCAAATGAATGCTAAAATAACTAAGATTGCAAGGTTTAGGTGACTATAACAGCTGCAAACCTCAGACTTCTACAAATGAATGAAAACTTTCCAAACAGTGAAAATGACCTGAACCAGTCAGGGTACATGGTGTAGGATAGCATGGATCCTGCATTAAAAATTACAGTCTGCAAATTTCAGAGGGGCTTAAGAGATGGGACTCAACCAAAAAGACTCAGATATTCTGGATGATCTCACTTAATAATCTTCAAATATACTGGATTTACTTCT